ATAGGAAGGCATTTTTAAATGATGTGAAACAAAAAGATGGCTAACGTCTATACTCGTTCTATATAGACGAATCATGGCACAATAATCTCAGGTAGATACCTGTAGCACCTTTATAAAATAAAAGGCTCAAAAGGTTTGTTACCTGCGGATTGGTGTTCTGCTCTCTGATTCGTTTAGAATGAAGAAAACTGATACTTATCTTTCTTCAGCGTATTATTACCATTCTGATCATTTTATAATATCTCCCTAATCATTTGTAATAGCCTCACAAAGACCCTTGGCCATCGCCATCATAGCCTTATGATATCCAGGACTGATGTCAACGCTGCCAATCGATTTTTTAGAAAAGAAATTATAACACAGATGTTTTCAAAAAAATTACATAAATTTATGTGAGAACTAGGTATATTATTGTAAAGGACTTAGGATATTTTTATGTCTTACCCTTCTGTAAATATCAAAAATAGATGCAGCAACACAAAATATACACAAAAACAACGCTTCAGTTGCAGTTAGAATAAAATTACTTTAACATGAATAGTATGCTACATGCGAATATGAAATCGATGAATGGCTTATTAATGATTTTGCAAAAAAATAGAATAAAGGACAAATTGTTCCCACGGGAGAACTTGCACAATCCAAATATTTTATAGATATTGAGTGAAAAAAATAAGGAGCATGGTCAGCTATAAAATTATCATAAAGCACCTAAAAAGCTTCCTTATTATATTATATCTATTCACTTATGTAAAAATTGACTGTTACCTGATATGCGTACTTCGATACTTATCAGATAACTGTATATTACAAACTTGCCAACACTATAGTACAACAAAATTAGATCCAAATAAACATAAATTGATCTCATTTTAAACTAATTATTTTATTTTGTCCTATCCGTCACATTTTGTTTGTTACAGTTTTTATAAAACATATCTATAAGGTTCGACACGTGTCGACATTTTGAATATAGTGTGTTGTCTACAACTTCCCGATTTGATAATAATATTTTGTATCAATATGAAACCTTGAGCTGATCTTCAAAATTTATCTAGGATCTATTTTGATCGAAAAATTTGTCAAAAACATATTTTTTGGCGAAATTATATTTATCATCACGACAGTGCTAGTAAGAAAGATGCCATTGAAAGAAAAAATTCTTCAGAAATTAAAATTAGAGTTTTACAAACAAAAATATATTTTTCTCTTTGAACGAAGAAATTATTTCGATAAAAAATATTTCAGTACCTAACACAGTAGCTGTTTGTTGTTTTAATTTAAAAGTAGCTATATTGTTTTTTTTTCTGTAATTTTTAGATAGGTACCCATCTGTCAAAATAATTTATATTCTCCTTGGACATACTATATAGAATGACTTTGGCAATATTATATTTTTTATTTTAGGTTTTTCAATATTCCAGGGATAAATAAGTTTTTAACAAACACTTTTTAAAGAACAGCCAATGATATTGGCTGTTTAAAAATTGTAAAATATATTGATTTTACAATGTTACGATATGGGACGCTACTGGATTAGGATATCAAGGCATACGTGATTATTAAGGTAAACATAGAACGTTTTTTCATTGTAAATTTTCGATCGGGCAATTGTATTTATAATAACTCTTATTAGTTTTGTTTATTATTGATACGTCTATTAAATACTTGAAATAAGTAAGTAGCACAGGTAGCACTGAAATTTAGCATAATTGACAAAAGATTTATTCCATAATCAATAAAATTCCAAAAGTCACGATTAGTCATGGTTTATTACTCTTGAGAATATCGCAATAAAAACACACTTGTAAATTACAGTATCTGTTGAGTTTTTTTGCAAAAGTAAATATCGAAAACTGTCAAAGCTACTTGCTTTTTTAAAGCCCAAAAATTAGTTTATATACATATAAGGTAGGTTTATATAAGATGATTTTTAAATGGTGTAGGTATATTTTCTCCATTTTTAGCAACAACAATTTGCAATATATAAAAATACAGACATATCTCTAAATATAAAATTTAGATCTTTCAATAATTTTAAGAATCTATTACTACTCTAGAGGTACAAGTTGATAATTCGTATTGACCGTCTTTTATTCCTACCCGTATTTCTCAGTGATGTGACTGTGCAGTAATTAATTCGTTGCAGCTAAAATAGCCACACGTTAGTGAGTACACCGAATACGCCAATACGTAGAGATAAACCCACCTCTGTATTAATCTCTGGGCGGATACTTTAATGAAAGTTCCGCCTTTTAGGATAATCCATAACCTGTTTCAGTTTTCATCAGTAATGCCGAGATTACAGATAAAATTTGTAAAAGATAAACCGGCATCTAATTTTCAATCTTATAACTTAACAAATTTTGAGTCAGCTGGCTTACAAGAAATCTTTAAAGGAAATATTTAAAAAATTCCATTATAAATTTGAGCGACAATTCGAAAATATAAAAACACCTTTTTTTAAAAACTTTGACGCCATCTGTTGACTAGTAGCTTGACTATGAGGTAAGGTTTATACCCAATTTATACCTATATTTATATAATCGAAATACTGAATTAGAAAATATTAGGAGTTGTTTGTGTAATCTGTGGTATAAGTAAATATTTTCTGCTTCTGTAACCTCAATTTTTTATAATGTGAATAAAATCAACACATTCGATTCAAAAATGGTATATTTAACTCGTATAATACTCGAAAAAATAAAGAAACGTACAAGAAGATATTTGAAAGAAGGCTTTAGAGATTCTCTCACGCATTTGTTGTCCGTTTAGTGGAAATGGGCTTCCCCAAGTAGTATTTTTTTAGAAAATTGTACCACCCTGTATATTTTTGTTAATTTTTAATTGTTAGATTTGGAGGGGCCGGCGGAAAAGGTGGCGACGTTATTGTAGAAGCCAAAGAGGGTATCACTTTAGATACAGTTTTCAAATCCAATGTCTCAAAAAGATTTCTGGCCAAACCAGGAAAACACGCTTCACATAACTTTATCCTTGGACCACCAGGAGAAGACGTAACATTTGATGTGCCTGTCGGTGTTACTGTATACACAGAACTTGGAAAGAAATTGTGTGTATAATTAGCGTTTCTTTACTTATCACTGGTATTAGGGAACACCTGTTTGTAGGTGAATTAAATCAAGAAGGTGAAAAGTTAGTTATTGCCAAAAGGTGGAAATGACATGCAAAAAATGGTTTCTTAGGAACCAGAGGTCAGGTGTATCACATTAGACTGGATCTTAAATTAATTGCTGATGTTGGTTTAGTGGGATTTCCTAATGCTGGAAAGAGTACACTATTAAAAGCTATTTCAGATGCCAAACCTAAAATTGCAAGTTATCCATGTATGCTTATACTTACATATTTATTTTGATTTTAATTTTAATATTTTTTTATCAGTTACTACAATAAAACCAAATCTTGGTGTCATAAATTATAACGATCTTAGGCAAATATCGATAGCAGATTTGCCTGGTTTAATTGAAGGAGCTTATAGAAACAGAGGCATGGGACATGAGTTTTTAAAACACGTAGAAAGAACAAAATTACTACTTATGATTGTTGATATAAATGGTTTCCAGTTGAATCATCAGTATCCACATAGAAGTTGTTTAGAAACCATAATGCTCTTAACAAAGGTATGTTGGAATTAAATTTTATACAGACTATTGTCAGTTATTAATATCTTTAGGAATTGGAATTGTATAATGAGGAACTCCTAGATAAACCTTCTATGTTATTAATTAATAAGATGGATTCTGAGGGTGCAGAACATTTGTTTAACAACATTAAAGGGCAATTAAAAGAATTAAATAGTCAGTATCTATTTTTTCATTATTATATTCTTAAAGTCCCATATTTTAGATTTCATATCCCAATATGAAGAAAATATGAGACCCTCTAGGTTATTAACATTCTCACACATAATCCCAATATCAGCTAAAGAAGATCGAAGTGATATTGAGCTTGTTAAGAATAAGTTAAGGACTTTGTTAGATGTAGTAAGTGAAAATGAACAGTTAGAAAATAACGAAAGTTATGATTTATATGGAGAAGTTACCAAACCACTTAAGGAAAGAGGTGGCCTTAAGTTAATTTGAAAAATAAACTTGTATATATTCTATTTTTTATTTATAATAATAAATCTATTTAATTTTTTATTAAAAAAAAAAAAAAAAAAATATATTTAATTTTTGATTTATATACTTAGAAAGTCTCACCCAGTTACAACTTATATTTTCATTAACAACATCTTCTATTAATCTTTTTCCCAAAGGAGAAGATTTTTCTATTTCAATGTTGTCAAATTCAGTATAAATGCCTATGCCAGCCTTCCACCTATAATTTAAAATGTAGTTGACATGCAAACATACTTTACAAAAAAGATTTACCTTTCTACTCCATTCCAAGCAATCATAATACCATTGTCTGTACATAATTTTGGGGGTGGCCTAACTAATTTATAATTCAAATTATCGCATACAATTTTCAGTGCTTCAGCTATAAAATTATTACATGCTACACCACCTGAGACATAACCTTAAAATATATAGAATGTATTATTTTCTTAAATTATATTGTTGTATATAAATTACCAGAGTTTGTTTATCAGGAGGAATAAGATTCTTTTTAGCTACGTATTCTATCCCTCTTTGTACTCTGTGGCATAAATGTCTGGTAGTAACCAAAAGAAACGATGCACATAGATTTTTGTAATCAGGTAGAACAGCATCAGGTGGTAAGTCTGTAAATATAAAATTGATTTAAAAAAAAAAAAAAACTTTATATTTTTAACATCTCACTATATTTTCTTTCTTCTCTAAAGAGATGGTGTAGACAAACATTTTTTACACCAGAAAAACTAAAATTGCAATCTCTTTATATTTTATCAATGAATATTAATATCTAAATCCATTTGCTGTTAAAGACATCATATGATGTATTGAATAAACGGTTTACTATACTTTTTACAGAGATATTTTCCATATTTTCACCATGGCAAAGATAGGGGCAATCCTGTAAAGATAAAGCTTTACTTATTTAATCCGATATTACATAAAGGTGATATTACCAGGTCTAACAGTTGCTGCTATAGCATCTATTTGATTTATTGATAAATTAGCTGCGTCTAGAGCATCCTGAACTACTTTTTCTATGGTATGTCTATGTAAAGATTCAGCCAAAGGAGGTATAATACCACCATTTCTATATAAATAGTTTGTAATTATTCTCAGTAATAACACCTCTACATCAGATTTACCGTAAATGAGTTAAATGTTGAGAATGTAAAGCTTCTCCAAGTATTTTCCCTTCGGTATCGACAATACCGCAACCAGTATCGTCGCAGGAAGTTTCTATACCCAAATTATTTGGTTTAGGAACTCTTTATCTCTTAATAGATCTGTTTAGAGTTCTATTCAATAATCGAGTAAAATAATTACTTTTATTTATTAAAAACATTTAAACTAAAAAATACCAGAAGTCAGAAAATTCTTCTTTTTTTATTAGTTTTACGGCCTAAGCTGCCAGGGCTATATGGCTGATTGATAGAATAATTACATGTGACAAACAGTTTGAATAAATAATAAATAGCACTTTAACATCATATACAATATTTATTTATATATGATTCGGATTTATTGTTACGTGTAAATATTACATTGTGTAAAAAATTCTTTATTACACACTCATCGACCAAAACCAAAAAGTGAAAAAAATATTTTTGTTTGATTTTGAATCGATTTAGACTATTTTTTCTGGGGGTATTTGTTATGGTATTTTTTAAAGCAAAAAAGTAATGCCATAGGCGTGTCGGTGATTTTACTTTGTTACAGGAATTTTAATTATTTCTGCAGGAATATTCCCTGGCAGGAATTAATGGAATTACTAGTTTGAGAAAATCGTATATATATTTTTAATTAAAATAGTTTTATTTAATATGTTATACAAAATACTAAACTAATTAATATACATAATAAAAAAAAAAAAAAAAAAACTTTTTAAAAAATAAATTAATCTTAAATTAAAAACAGTGATTAAAAGATAAAACAATTATTTAACGTCTTCTAGACATGTAAAAGGCACAATTATTTTGTTCATCCTTAGGAAGAACTTTACTAAACAATTTAATACGTTAGAAATAATGTATTTACAGCACTAATTTACAATTTTCAACGCGCTCGCAGCTACCACTATTTACAGTGTATAAATATTAATAATTTTATTTCTTTCTTAAGAAAACATATTAGTTTTTAAGTATTTGGTACAGGTGCGATAACAAAATCATTAAATAAAAAGACTAAGGTAGGAGTTTAACACAATTTTCATATTCATGCATTGACAACATGGAAATACTTTCTTTTATCAGTAGGGAATATTTCGACAGACGACATCCAAAAAATGACCTGTTAGGAAATGCCCGGTAGGACACACTCAAGGGGCACACTATAGTAAATATATACACTGTCCAATGAGTAAATACATGACAGTGACAGTTGTCATTTTTCCATGCTGAGGATGGGCTTTTCCTTGACTGTTCCACACAGAACAAAGACCGTGGATTTTCAATTACGCCTCCTTCCTTTGGTATTTTAATTTAATAACAAAATAAATAACTCCTAAAGAATAAAGTTTCTCCGTAAGTCATTTGTCACAATCCTAATCAAACTTATGAGTAATCAATGGAAACCGCACGATTCTCAGCTGCTTTCCATAGTCGCACAAAACCGCGTCCCTTAACAGAATCAGTTGATTAATAAACACAAAAGGATCCCTACCCAACGTAATGTTTCTGACGCATTCACCGTTGCGCACGTCCCATATGATCAAGCCACCGTTTCTGCCGGTGGCCGCCAAGTGTGGGGCCAGCATTAGCACGTGATTGGAGAAGACCTGGCCCACCAATATGGTGTTGAGGATGTGGCCCTGGAACCGTTCCCAAACGCACAGCCTCTCGTCTATTCCTAGTGAGATTACGTAGCTCGCCGAATAAGTTATGGAAATGATGCAGCCGTCGTGCGCTTGGATGCTGTACATACACGTCCCTGAAAAAAAGAAGTTTAATACCTAAAACGGAAAGTAAATAACGATTTAAGCCCCCTCTGCGCATATCGTATTACCTGTCAGGTAAGATGGATTAAAAACTAATGTATACATTGGAAGTTTTACCTGCAAAAAGAGAAGGAGGGGTAGACCGAGCAACAGATAGAAAAAGGATGTAGAAGAGGACTTGAGAAGGATAAGAGTGGATGGGCAGAGAATAAAGGCGAAAGATAGAAACAAATGGAGAAAGATAACCAATCAAGCCATGAGCCTTTTAGGCTTTTAGAGTTATTATATTACTTATATTTTTTTCAGTGCAGGTAGAATGACAGTTTTGTTGAGCGTATTACTTCTATCTCCTAAACAAAGAAGAACTTATGTTCTCAAACCATACCAATTCGATATTCTCTCCTTCAGTACTGGAACATAAATCCTCTCACAGCTTAGATGGGAAGGCCGCAGTATAGTCTACTTAAAACGTTTTGACTGAACATGGACTGAACAGATAAGACCGGACAGGTAAAACTTTAAGTGTAGATGGGGCAATATAAAAGAGATAAATATACAGGATAACCTAAATTCGAAGCGGTCACATTGGGATCTCGAAATGTTAAGAAAAGAGGTTAAAATTATAGTAAACTTTGATAATTTAAAATTTAAAAAATACAAATACTAAATATATTCGGTAAATAAAAACTGAAATATTGTAAAAGCGATATTATTTTTCGTTGCTATATTTGAAGAAATATTTTAAAATAACTGCTGGTATTATAAAAGGTAGAGGGAATTACGGCATCTTAATTCCGTTAACATGTTTATATTAATTCAGCAAGAAATAAAATTATTTTCTACGTACCTGAAAGTAGGTCCCAAACACATAACATGCCGTCTTGCGATCCGCTTCCGGCCGTTGCCGGACACACCCTATCGATAAACAGACAGGTGATAGGGCCGCAGTGACCGTGCAACGTGTACACGGGGTCGCCATTGTCCACCCTGTACACTTTCAGGGTGTGATCCTGGCTGCCAGTCACTATTCTCCCTCCTTCGCAATCGAGGCACGTTATAGGCTGTTGATGTGCCTTTACGCTCAGTAGCTTGAAGCACTTCAAGTCTTCCTCGGAATCGTTCTGAAATAAATACTGAAGCAATACGTAACTGAACGAAGTACAATTGAG